TGCCCAGCCGCTATGGAGTTTATTTAGCTCTGCAGTTGCTGTGGGCATGGCCTGCCTCAGGCTGCTGCTCCAATATTGCGGAGCTTCATTGGAGGGGGAACAGGCGGGAGGCTGTTTATTGCAGTGAAGGGCCTCCGAGCTGCGCTGTGGGGGTTCGGGTGCCCAGAGTTCCCCGGAATTCACAGCTGCATGTCCAGCTGTGGGGTCCCTGTCCCTTTAAGACTTTCAAAAAGCACTCGCTTTTCTTTGTCCTGGGTGCACCAGCTGCAGGGACCCACTCACAGGTCTTACTGTCCTGTTTCCCTAGTTTCCAGCACCCCACTCATGCTCTGTGTGTCTGCGCTCTGGTGCGGATGGCTGGGGCTGGGTGAGTAGCAGTCCTGGGCTCCCTCTCCCTCCCCGCGCTGACTCCTCTCCTCCCGCCAGGAGTTGGGGTGAGGAGCACTTGGGTCCCACTGGGCCGGGGCTTGTATCTTATCCCCTTTGCGAGGCACTGGGTTCTCACAGGTGTGGATGTAGTCTGGCTGTTGTCCTGTGTCTTCTGGTCTCTCTTTTAGGATTAGTTGTATTTGTTGTATTTTCAAAAATATATATGGTTTTGGGAGGAGGTTTCCGCTGCTCTACTCACGCCGCCATCTTGGTTCATATCCCCTAGACATAGCACTTTTAAGGCTGAAACTGAGCCTATAAATAATTTAACTAAAAATTTCACATTGAGTAACTGAGGCACCATTGTATAATTTCTTTATCCAGCTCACAGAGCTAATTGGGGGCACTGCTGGGGCTGGAACCCACCCCACTTAATTCTCATGTAAAAACTCTACAGTATGGGACCTGTAGATGCCAAGTCCCAAAACACAGGGAGGGATTAGCTGGACAGAGCCCACACAGCTCTATTTCTAAACAAACTTCTCAGGTGATTCAGATGCATACCAGAGCTTACTAGTGCCTCATACTGCACTGCCTTTCAGTCCATGAGCCTAGCCAACCATCAAATGCACTCAATGTTGATGGAACAGATATCTGAATCCACCCCTTTCTCATGAAAACAGCCATTTTGCAGTCCAAAATTAAGCCTGTTCTTGCATTTGAGAGTTGTAACTATTGTTCCCTAGAGCATGTGATTGACAATAGTATATATACCACAGTGCTTTGACATATAAATCTTCTTAAGTAATACTAAAATATTTTTGATAAGGAAATGCTGGATAGCACTAAACCAACACTGTAGCCTAATATTTCATTTGTATGCCATAAAAATTACTGCTTGGCATTTTATAATGCGGAGAAAAGGAATGTTCTCTTCTGATTTTTTAATATTTTAATTTTTTGCCCCTCCCTGTTCATGTCTCTGTTCTAAGTCCTAGGTTCTTTTCATAATTAGCTAATAGAACTAACAACCTTTTACTACTCTGAACTGTCTCATTTAGCTTACCTTTTTCTGAGAATTGCCAGAGGGAGTAAATAGTCAGCATTTATCGTGCAGGGCACTGGGCCAAGTATTTTGTGTGTATGATTTGTTTAATCTTCACAGGAACCTTATGAAATAGGTCATTGTTTTTCAAATGTTTCTTATGTTTACAATCCATGCTAATGAATTTAAGATCATGATCCAGTAACAAACATCTTTATATGGAACAAAAGTTTCATCCATTAATATAACACTGCAGTATATTCTGTTTTCTCTTTTAAATAATGTTGATTTCAGTCCACTAAATAATTTATAATTCACTAGCGGATTGCAGCTCTCATGAAAAATACTGAAGTGTGGTATACTTTACTGTCCCCACCTTACAGATGAGAAAGCTGGCAGGTTCAGTAGCTGCCGAAGTGTCACAGCTGGTGGACGGCAGCCCTAGGCTTTGAGCCGGGAGCCTGGGCTCTCACGCACGTTACTAGACTGAGTCATACAGCAATACAGACAATCTGCAGAATATGGACCTCATTTTGCTTCTGTGATAGGGGAAAAAAATGTCTGAAATACAAATTCTACCTTTAAATGCTGTCCTCCAACTACCAATAAGTTGATTTAATCAGCATAAGACTGGGGAGAGTGCCAGGGACCCTGAAGATTTGGGAATAGAGAACAAGGGTCTTCTGTATCTTACACAGGACCTTGAGAACTTGGGAGTGGGGTGGAAATGTCTAATTGGGTTTTTTAATTAAGTAATTTTATGAGATTTTGAAGAAAAACTCTTCTGTCTCTTTAAAAATCTCACAGTTACCTACTCACTGATATTTGAAAGTGGATTTGGTTTTGGACATTTAAGTCCAGCGTCAAGGCTAAAACTAGGTCAAAACTGATGCAGTCTGCTGAGGCCAGTCACATCTGGGTAACACTTCAGTGAAGAAATGCTGTACTTTCAGTAAATATTTGTTAATTGCCTGTTGTGTTCAGAGCACAGTCCTGGGTACAATTTCCATTGTCCTGTGATTTGCTTCTGACAATGTTGATCAACAATCAGTAAATACTCCATTTCCATTTTCACTGGACTGAGTGACATTTCAGTGTCTACCCTCGGGAAGTAAAAGGAGAGCAAGTCTGTCTCCATCAGTGTGCAAAGTGGCTGTGATTTGAAGGAAACCCTCTGCCAGTCATGAGACGGCCAGTCCCTTCTTGCCATTAGGGAAGTCCGGGCTTGCATGTCAGCTCACACTTACTGACAGCCCAAGTATAGGCATAGAATGTTACGTAGCAGGAAGAAGCAGGGAGTGGCTCGGAAGCAGAAAAGTAATCCAAGCAGAAAATATACATAAGACTGGAGATTGCTCTTTCACAGCCCAAGCAGGAGTGGCGGGTGAGGTTGGGGGCTGCTGCAGGGAGGGAGGGTGAGTATTGTATGTTTGGAGTTTGGGGAAAGGAGGGAGAGTACTGTGTGGAGGAACTGCTTATTTGCCTAGATTTCACCTCAAAATAGAGAATAAAGAGCAGTCAAGAGGAGGAAATTGTGTGAGGTTCCCAGGCAGCAATATCAACAATTATGTTATGTGGACAATTTTATCAGAAATCTGTAACGTACACTCTGAGTGAATGAATAGTAATTACTTTGCATTTGTAATGTGGTGTTGGAAAATTGGTGCATTTGCTATGTCTGTAATCCGTTTCTTTTCATTAGTATTCCTTTTTAAAGGATGTTTGCTGTCCAAGTCTTAGTAGGAAAGAAGGTGTAGTCTCCCCCTGCTGGATATGTCCTGTAGAACCTGAAAGTTGAGCTTACTTGGCAAGTAATTTTTTTAAGTAGCTGCATGAGGACTTACTTACCTCAGTGTTCAACTTTCGACTTTTCTTCCCCACAGCCTCACTAAGCAGCCTTTTGATTACACCTTTCCCATCGCCAAGCTCCTCTACATCCTCTTCCAGCAGTTACCAGCGCCGCTGGCTTCGAAGCCAGACAACAAGTTTGGAAAATGGCATCATTCCGAGGAGGTGAGGTGCAAGTTAGAAGGTACTAGTGTAGGTAGCTTGATTAAACTGGCAGGACACCATACTCACGTGTTGTCAATGGAAAAGGAGCTGGAACTTTCTGATTAGTTTCAATTTAGCCTAAAAGCTTACAAGTTAGAAGTTTTCTGGAAAGAATAAATATAAAAGCTTAAAAATATATATATCCTGGTTTGGATGACACTGAGAAATAACTGAGGAATTGTGCCATGTGTTTGCTGTTAATTTTTTTTAAGTATGCTCTCTGACTTGGTCCCCTTCCAGATGTATCCCTTGTAGGTTAGAAGGATGGAATGAATCTCTTCCTTGGCTGACACTGACACCAATGTGCCTTTGAAAATACATGAACTCAAGGATTGTGATGTACTGTCTTTGTAAAACTTAAATTGTTAAACAGTCATAAATAAGTTTATAGAGATGCCATTGAAATGTTTTTTGCCTTCATTGCAGTTGGTTTGTAGATCTAAAGTTTAGTTGTGTGAAAAATAATCTTTTAGCTTCTTATGATGTTACATTAGTAGCTTCCAGCCTTTTCTTCCTATAACCGAAAAACTTAAAAAGGAATTAAGATGGGTCATGTAAAATTCATATAAAAATTCATGTAAACTTGTAAATCGGTTGATGTAGTAAGTTGGCTAGTAATCACTGTGTGCAGGGATCTGTGAAGGTGTAAAGATGATTCAGCTACGTGCCTGTGTTTGAGTAGTTTATGGAGTAGTAAGTAGTGGCCAAGACAATATGCACATAAATAATGGCATAAGGATGTTAAATGACAAGTGCCAGGGGAAAGCAGACTTGCTGTCCAAATCTTAGTAGGAAAGAAGGTGTAGTCTCCCCCTGCTGGATATGTCTGGTAGAACCTGAAAGTTGAGCTTGGCAACTAATTTTTTAAGTAGCTGCATGAGGACATGTTTACCTCAGTGTTCAACTTTCGACTTTTCTTCCCCACAGCCTCACTAAGCAGCCTTTTGATTACACCTTTCCCATCCCCAAGCTCCTCTACATCCTCTTCTAGCAGTTACCAGCGCCGCTGATGTCGGGACTCAGAGGAGGGAGAGAGCACTCCCTGGGGCCTGTGGGGGGAACTAGGAAAGAGATGGTGGTGAGAGGACAAGCTGAGAAATGAGGGGTTGGGGCATGTGTATGGCACACTTCAGGCTGCTTGCCTCTCTCCTCCCGTTGTGCTCACAATCCTAGGGAGCTAGGCAAAAAGAAAAGATGGCAGCTGCATCACTTCCTGGGGACCTGTGTGGTTGGTGGATTTGGAGCAGAATAGCTGGAGCAAGCTCTGGCTCCATCACTCCCGGGGTGAGCGTGAGCGTGAGTTAACCAGAGCCCGAGTGCTGCTTGCTCATCTGTGGCACGGTAATTGTGCTAGTCCTAGCCTCACAGTGCTGTTGGGAGAGTAAAATGAGATAATACAAGTCAAGTCAGGCTAAGACAAGATATAGTGAGTAAAATCTTGGCCACCATGACTTATTTACCACTGTTCAATCACTGCCATCATGATTACTCCAAGTGTGAGGAGAAGGAGCCCCACCTTCCTCACTGTCACTGCAACAGCTTCTGTGGTCGGGAGAGATAGATGGGTCTTGGAAGCCTTCCCCTGTAGACACCTTGTCTTTCCAAGTAATGCTTTTCCATTCCTTGAGGCATAAGTGCAAAGCTGAAGAGTGTTCCCAGCCTACTCCAAAATTCTTCAAACTCTTATTTGAGCCAAGCTCTGGCATTGGGAACTAATGAATGTCCAGTGCGCTTGCACCTAAAATAAGTTTCTTGGGCTCAAAAAGCGCCCCTTGTTCAAAAAGCAGGCAAAAGTACTATTGAAGGTATGAAAATGAAAGCTTTTCTTTAAAAACTACTTTATTTATAAAACATAATAGGAATATTAGTTAATACAAATAATAACATAAACTTGTAAATTGCAAACAATGATTTGGTGTCATGATTTTACATAACAATAAATAATGTTACATCTTGATTCATCATAAAATTTTTTCTGGCTTTTCTATAACTTCACTTGTTAGGTCATCAAAATTTATATTTTATACAGCAACTTTGCTTTCAGTTGATACAAGTAAAAGCATTATCACTCCTGGCAAGTGCAATATAGCAAAAACATTTGATGATTTTTATTGGCAGAATCTTTCTGCCAATGCAACTCTTTCTGGAGTTCCATAGGTTCTGACAACACTGGATTAAATTTCTACTAAACTTTCAGAATACAAATTTTGGCACATCTGTATCAGATAATTCTTGTGGAACAGTTTTTCTGGAAGGTTTAATTCTTCACACAACTCCCTTTTGTGGAAGTCTGAATTTAATTTTAAATCTAAATTTATATAAGATTACTTTAATGTTTTTTCTAACATTTTCTGTAACTTGCAGGGGTCTTACAAGAAACTGAAAGTTAGTCATGTATAACTCAAAATACCTGTTTATGCATTCTATCACTGCATCTTCAATTATAAGGAAAAATTAATTTTCAAATAGCTTCCTTATTAATGATTTGTTCATCTGAAGCTTCATATGAAAATAGTATGATTTCTTTTCTGTCCATTGTGACAATCTTTACATTTAATTTCTATTTCTATGCTTATAGACATTTGGTTGGCAATTTGCAGCATTTTCAAAAGCAGAAAATTTAAAACTCTTTGAAGAATTCTAATTATTCCCTGATATGCTCTATTGCAATGTCCACTGTAGGCTCTTTGTAATAATTTACTGCCCCCCAGGCTCAGGTCGGTGAGTCAAATGTGTGTGTATTGCGATGATGGATGGGCAAGCCGGCCTTCGCCATGGGTCACAGAGCTGTCTGTGCCACTGTTCTGTCCCAGAGCTGAGGTCACTGCTGCCTCTGTCGATTCTGCTGTCTCAGCCACCAGTCTGGGCCCAGACTTACAGCACCCTGGAGTGCTCAGACATGGGGATGTGGGTGAACGGCTCAGTGTCTGGGTTGCCTGCCCTTGGGCCTGAGCCCAGTGTGTACTGAGCAGCCCAGTGTCTCCCCTACTCGTGTTCATGCTTCATTGTCCCATTAGACTTCACTTACAGAATATAAATTCAAAGATAAAATTATTAAGAATTCAAAATGGCAACTGCAAAGCATTAAACCAGGCAGGGGCCTCTTCTGAGAGCAGGGCTCTGGATGAGTGGGGTCGAAGGCCCATGAAGCTGGCTCTCAGTTCAGTTCTGCTTAACACTGAGAGCGTTAAGTACAGCCAACATTTTAAACTAATCACTGTGCCTCTGAAGATCCCTTCATTTAAAGGATGTTGCAATTGATCGCTTCCTTTGGGCAGGTGTGTGGGTGGGAAAATTAGTTTCTTATGCTAGACAGGAGAACATTGAGTAACAGAAATAAAATTGCCTTTGGCTTTGAGAGAAAATGCACAGTAATCAAAAACTTCTTTCCTAAGAGAGTTAAAAGTAGAAAGCATAATACTCACACTGTCCTGAGCAGTTGGTTTCACACTGATACCCATGCTTCACGCCCCCCCGTGCCCCCTGCTGTGCCAGTGGTCAGCTTTGGTCATGGATGGAGAGTCAAGCTTGGGCATTTACCAGCAGGGGCAGAGGTACTGTCTGTAGTGGAAGAGAAGCAACAGAGACTTCATCCCTCAATGAGGCTGTTGAAACAGAAAAGGAGCAAGGTGCAATGTCCCAGAAACACTTTTGATTCAAGTTGTTAAATTGAACCAACCATATAAAGTTGCTGGTAGAATATTCTTTGACCTATAAAAATGGTGAATTCATATGTTCCAATGTAAAACATAGATTCAGCATTAAGTTCAAAGCTGACATAAGCAATTAGACCAAACAGTCCTGAAATCAACAATAAATCATTGAGATGTACATAATAATCATAATATTTGTTTTAGTTATGATCTTGAAGTACTCATAATGTATGTAAATAGTTATTCATAAGTATCAACAAAATTCTATTTTATTTTTATAAGGAGAGAAATTAAGTGTGTAGTGGCAGTCTTTCGTTGACTTGAAGGCCTGTCAGCTGGCATGGTTGCTGCCAGCCATTTCCTCTCAGTGCTCCCACTGGCGTGATGTATCTGATGGCATGAACACCAGCAGATGGATGAGACATGGGGGCAGAATCCCTGATCATTTCCCGAGTCCAAGAAATAAGCCTAGACTAGAAACTCTGAGTTCTAACTCCAGCCCTGTCCCTAAGAAGCGTTCTGTACTTGAAGCAAGTGGATTAATCACTCTGCCTCAGTTGCCACATTTACGAAGTGGTCTATGTACCTTATCTGGTGACTTGAAGGTGAAGATATAGTGAATATATGGGTACATACTTAAATTTTTAAGAAACATTCTGAAATACTCTTTCCTTGTAAAATAACTTTTAAAATGTAAATATAGCTGGTTTTTTCAGAAATTCAGTAGGTGGCACTCTCTGCTGTGTTAGAGCAGAGCTGGCTATTGTCTATTGGGTGAAGATGAAGATGCATAAATCTGCATAGGGTTAAATGCTTACTACAATTTGGTTATTAAGGACCATATTGGCCAAAGATGAATGGACTGATATGGTCATTTTACGTTTGACAAAGAAGAGAAATGGAAGATGCTGGAAAGAAGAAAGGGTTGCAAGAAAGTATTGATGTAATATAAGTGCAGGATTTCCTATACAGAACAGAAATAACTTGGTGCAGAGAACAGTTATGCTACAGGTACATTGGAAAAGAAGAGGAAGCATTGTATGAAATTAAGTAAAATTCTAAAAACAGCCTCAATGATTTTTTTTTCCTGACAAATAGATGATTAAGATCTCCCTAGATCTTCTCCCTAGATCTTCTCCTCTCAGAGAAAATACTTGATGGTTTATTTTAATGGTAGCATTTATAACAGGACCTGGAAATCATGTCCTGCCAGTGGCATGTCTGCTTGTGAGAGTCTTTCTCTGATTTATCAGCCACATCTGTGTCTCTGGGATCTTGTTTGAAGTCAAGAGAAACAATAATGTACCCCTCTGAGGTTAAAATAAGATGTCTATCTCCTTTCCTTTAAAAGTAAAGCACCTTTCCTGACCATAAAATTTTTGATGTATGTATGTTTCCAAAATGTGGATATGTTTGAAATCACAAGAACATTATAGACTGTGAGTAGGGCAAAAATAAGAAGTTTAAGACCAAGAGTACGTGGCTAACTGCCTTGAATTCTGCCAAGCCTAAGTAATTGTTATGTTGTACTTTGTAGTAAAAAAAAAAAAAAAATAGAGGAAGCAGTACCCTCTCATATTTGGCAGGTATATGAGACTAAAGGGTGGAGTCAATGAGAAAGAGAAAATTTATTGTATACCTACTTGTGCCAAGCTAGATTCTTTCATTTATAATATGTTCTGTCCTTTTGCTTTGGTGTCTTTATAGAAAAAGAAATTTTATTTCCATTCTCGCTGTTAGTAACTATGTGGTAGTTAGGCTTATTTTTCAGAATAGTTAAATAGGACGTAATTGGGCAGTATTTGTGAGATTTACCTATTAAGACAAATTGAATTTATATTCAGAATTTATTGTCTTCATGATCCTGTTATCATAGAAGCGGAGTCTCTTAAAATAATCTTAAGATTTTTTTGAGAATTTTCCGTAAAAGAAGAAAGGTAGGTCTCTGCTTGAGGGATTTCCCAGAGAGCTCAATCAATTACACAGCTTAATCTGAGCATTTACAGGAGTAACTTCATCCAGGGGTTTTAATAGCCTTGGGAAAGTAAGCCTCAGCTATCAACAAATATGCAAACATGATGCCTTGGTTAAACAGAATACCACATAGGATTCTTTCTCTTCCAATGTTCTTATCTATTGATACCTATCAATCAAAACAGAGGTCCTATTTTTTGAGTGAACAGATGTTTCACAGCCCTTTCTAAATACCACCAATCTGATGTAAAATAATCCAAGGGAAAAGGATTAAGGCTCTAACAACAAGGGGGGCATTTAAAATTACTTTTCATTTAAGTTTCTTTTCATGATACCATATGGCAAGATGATATTTTCATTTTTCATGACAGACTAGAAAATGAATTAGAGGTAAACTCTTAGTTAAAATGCTAAGTATTCTGGATTAGCTTTCTGAAGGTCATCGTCTGGCATTAGTTTATCTTCAGTGTGATTCTTTGATGCATGGCAACTTTTCAAATTTATTTTTCGTTCAGGTCAACTGATGAGACATTCAGTTTAGTTGAAGAACCCTGTAGTTCTAATCCAGCCATAGTTCGGAGGAAGAAAATCGCCATAAGCATCATCTTTTCCCTGTGTGAGCTAGAAGAAGCGCAAAGGAATTTCCAGGACTTCTTCTTTTCTCATTTCCCCCTGTTTGAATCTCACTTGAACAGGCTGAAGAGTGCAATTGAAAAGGTATGAGAATGTAATTCGGTGCCAAATAGAGAAGCAATTATGGGCTTTAAGGATGGTAGAATCTCTTTGTCTAAGTATCAGATCACTTTCCTAGAGAAGTTAAACATGGATAGTAGGCATCAGATGCTGGATGGCTTTAGGAATGGAAATTACTGCCTTCTGATGATGTAAATCATCAATGTTTGAGTATAATATTGAGTGTTCTGATTATAATGTCTCATTGATAAGGGCCCAGTAGGTAGTTGTAAAGGAATCTCTTCTCAGAGAGTAATTTGGCTTGTTTTCTCTTCAATGAAGGCTATGATCTCCTGTAGGAAGATAGCAGAGTCTAGTCTCCGTGTGCAGTTTTATGTCAGCCGTCTGATGGAAGCTCTGGGAGAATTCAGGTAAATTGACAACTTGCCAAATCCAGTAGAGGAAATTTATAAGCAGCCGCAGCAGCGACAGCTGTGGATCTAGAGATACACAGATACCATGACATGGAAAAACTGGGGGGCTGGCAATTATTAGTCACTTTAGCAGCTCCCTCCTTCAGGACGGAAACTGACACCAAATGGAGCAAAAAATTTAAGTTACCAGCACCAAGTATCCTCATTACTTCCTGACAGGCAGTCCTTCATGTGATTGTTTTTAACAGGGTGAATGGAGAAATGTAATATTCAGGTGTCTCTTTAAGGCCTGTGTATTATTGGATGGCATCTTCATGAAAGCCGTAGGGGTTAACACTATTAACCCCACTTTACAGATGTGGAAACTAGAGTTCAGGGATGCCTGTCCAAAGCATAGATGGAGCGAGTATATATGTCAGGGAGATGGATGTTCCAGTTTGCCAGGACAGTCCTAGTTTATACCCAGTGTCCTGGTCTGGAGTTTAAATGGTATGACCGCCCCAGTGTGTCTTCAGTTTCTAAGTCACGACCTTTGTTCTCTGGAGGCCAGTTTTCTGGCATCCTTGCCCCAGGTGTCTAGCTGGAGAGGTGACCTGCTTTGGGTAACAAGTGGGACACTCTTGCACCATGCTGAGCTGCATTTGTGGCAGCATTTTTCAGAGCCAGTTTCTCAATAGGTAATGGAATCCTACTCTGAGCAGTGATGAGCTAATGAGTCAAACTGTTACTCTGCAGCTGAGGGATAAAAAAAAATTGAGAATTCTTGGAATTTTTTTGCTGTGCTTATAGTATATGCTAGTGAACTCAATAATGCTGCATGGGGCAAAATCCCCAGCATTTTTTGAACCCTGGGTTATGTATAAAGCACTCAAGTAACACATTGGTCATTATCTGGTGATTGTTAAGACCTAAATCATATATTTGAGACATAGTGTGAAGTTGGGCTCTTTTTAATGTCAGTGTGATTTTTGGTAAACCTTCTATGCTTATGTGGGCAGCACTGGATTTGCCTGGTGTTCTGCTCTGGCCACAGCTAAAAACTTGCTTGTGCTTGAGAGTTTGTAGACTAGTTTAATGAAAGTATCAATTTTTCAGAGGTCAAGAATCTGAAAGCACAGAACCAGACAGCCTCTGTGAACACAGACATGCCCTGTTACGTAAACAACCTACCCCTCCAGAAATGGTGACGAAATAGTGTTAGTGTTTGGAGACATTCGTTGCAGCAGATGAATCCCAGTTCCCTGTGACTATAACTTGTCATTGCCACCTAACCCAGCAAATACTGGTCTTTGCCAAGGTAGAATTCTGTTGTGTCTCCATTCTTTTAGGCACACAGCTAGAAAATCAAGTCAGAATATGTTTCATCTATCTTGATTTGGAAAGAGTGGATATGTTTTAAATTTAAAGAAACCAGCAGAGATGCTAAGCTAAGTTAGTGTTCTTTTAGGAAGAACACTTGTGAGTCATGTAGACTGGAGGAGAGCCCTCGCTACCAGGCACTGGGAGACCTGCATTATCATCCTGACCATATCATTCAGTGTTTGTATGTCTTGTACCAGTAACTTAATGTCTCTAGGCCTCAGTTTCTTAATCTGTAACATGCTAGAACTAGACTGGTCAGTTTCCCTAGTAGCTTAGAGTTCTGTTGGTCCATATAAAAAATTTAGTATATAGTACAGTAAAGAAGGTCATTTTGTCATTTTTCATCTGAAATGAATAAGGTGCTTTGGGTTAGACAACTGAAGCACTAACTAGAAATTGGGAGAATTGAGTTGCTTCTGGTCACATTTTTATTGTAGCATATACTTCTTTCTTCATTTCTTTACTATAAAAATGTACATACATTCTGACACAGGCATTGCAAAAATAAATTGTTTTAAAAATGAGCATTTTGTGAGAACCCTCCTATACTGCTGATGGGAATGTAAACTGGTACAGCCATTGTGGAAAGCAATATGGAGGTTCCTCAAAAAACTTAAAGTAGAAATACAATTTGATCCAGGAATTCCATTCCTAGGAATTTACCCAAAGAAAATAAGATCCCTAATTCAAAAAGGTATATGCACCCTTATCTTTATCACTGCACTGTTTGTAATAGCCAAGATATGGAAGCAACCTAAGTGTCCATCAGTAGATAAATGGATAAAGAAAGTGTGGTACATAAACAAAATGGAATATTATTTAGCCATAAAAAGAAATCCTCCCATTTGCCACAACAAATGTGGATGGATCTAGATGGTATTATGCTCTGTGAAATAAGCCAGGCAGAGACAGACAATACCAAATGATGTCACTTATTTGTGGATTACAAAAACTAAGCAAAACAGAAGGAACAAAATAGCAGTAGACTCATAGACCCCGAGAAGAGACTAGTGGTTACCAAGGCGGAGGAGTTGGGGAGGTGGGGGGGCAGGTAGGGGGAAGGGGATGAACGGCCACAGTGATTTGTTGGTCACAGGGACAATAGCACAGCACAGAGAATACAGTTAATGATTCTGTAACATCTTACTATGCTGATGGACCCCCACACTGGAGGGGGTGAGGACTTGATAATATGGGTAAATGTTGAACCATTGTGTTGTGTATTTGAAAACAACATAAGATTGTATATTGATGATACTTTAATTTTTAAATATGAGTATTTTGTATCAAAAGTTGGTGTACCTTTTATGTAAAGAGTCTCTATCACAGCTCCTCAACTATGCCATTGTGAAAAAGCAACAATAAATGATACATAAATGAGTGAGCATGGCTGTGTTCCAATAAAATTTTATTTACAAAAAAGGTGGCAGTCAGATTTGGTCTGTGGGTCACAGTTTGCTGACCCCTCTTTTATATACTGCTTGAATCCCTTAAGGTATATATAGATCCAGAGATTATCCAAAATCATATTTGTGACCATTTTGTGTCTCTCTCTTTTCTATAGAGGGACTATTTGGAACTTATATTCTGTTCCCAGGATAGCTGAACCCGTATGGCTTACTATGATGTCCAGTACTTTGGAAAAAACCCAGCTCTGCCAGCGCTTTCTCAAGGAGTTTACATTTCTGATAGAACAGATCAACAAAAACCAGTAAGCTTCATTCTCGGGCATGTTGCATGCAAATTTCATGACCAATGTACATGTTGCGTATGACATGCCTCTTTCTGCATTGACTCACCTGGCTGTATTTTCTTCCATTTCTCCAAGGTTTTTTGCTGCCTTACTGACTGCAGTGTTAACCTACCACCTGGCCTGGGTACCGACCGTCATGCCTGTTGATCACCCTCCCATTAAAGCCTTCTCAGAGAAACGCACCTCTCAGTCAGTGAATACGCTGGCCAAAACACATCCATATAATCCTCTCTGGGCACAGCTGGGTTAGTACCTAACTTGACTTTTCAGAGACTCTATGAGAGGGAATAGGGAAAATACTAGAATTTATCACTGATAACTGGCAATTCAGGGTTACCGTTGGGCCGTCGGGCAATAGGAGACTGACCCACAGATTCCACT